TGAATGCTGAGCACTGAAGTGTAATGTGATTTTAATAGCAGAAAACTCATGAATACATTTCATCCAATGAACACTGGTCTGCTTCCTCCCTCTTGAACTTACAGTCCTGACTCTTAACATGAGTAACCTATTTCCTGCTGTGAACCACCTTGTCTTATGACCCACTCCAACCTCAATGAGGAAAACACAATAGCCACCCACATGCTGGTGACCTAATCCCTGTTCACAAAGCCCACAATTTATCCTGGGACAAGATTAAGCCAAGAGGATATTTCTCTGAAACAAGTTAAAATGCAATGAAGAAAACACTTCCTTTAAGAGAAGCACTTTGGGTGAAGACATAGAATTAAAAAAAAAAAAAGTATTCCTTGCTTTTTGCAAGAGGTGAAGGCTAGGACTTGAGTTAAGTACAAATCCACTTGGAAGAATAGATGAACAAGTCTCAACAATTCAATTGGACCTTGACTATTTGTTTTTTTTTTTTTCTCAAGGTTAAGCAGAAAACGAACCCTTAGAGAAACTTCTTGACATAATATAGAAAAAGAACAGTTACATAAACTTGTAAAGGGAATGCAAGTCTTTTACAACATCTAGACTTAGATTACTCATGTCAAGAGCCAAGACTGAGTTCAAGCAGGAAGAAGGAGACCAGTGTTGATTGGGTGAAAATGCATCCCTCCCTTCTTTGCTTCCCCAGCCTGTCCTCTGTCTTTCTACCTCCTCTCTTTTCTTCACACTCACCCCAATAAGTCAATGTGAAAGAAAACCTCGGGGCAACATTTCCTGTCTATGAAATGAAAAGTTGCCTTATCTCTCAGGCTCATGAGAGCACTCAGTGTGAAAATGCTATAGTACACTACCCAGCGTGGTTTAAGCAAAGCCCACACGAGGTTATCTATGAGTTCATGGGCTAAAAATATCCATGGTGTTGTGCTATGCAATGCCAGAAAGTTCAAGAATTTTTAAAACCTAGTAAAAAGCTGTTTTGCAAATCTGAGTGACATCAGACAGCTGATTTTGCTGAAATGTTGTAATGGATCAAAGTCATATCCACATAACTGAGTCTCAGCCCTGTCTGTGCATTAGAGGCACCTGGGGATGGCATTTATCCAGGATGCAGCAGTGAGGGGTTTTCTTGCTTCTGCTGTTTGTATTCTTAAGCACTCCACGCAAGTCTAATAACAGTCACAGCTGAGCACCCTTCATTTTTACTATACCAAACATTAGGATAAAAGCAGGTCACAGTCCAGACTTCAGATACTCGAATATTTGGTTCTTGCTGGCTCTGTGTAGGCCGATCCTGCATCTAAAACAACATCTGGGAGTTCAGGCTGTTTCTTCCCTGGCCCACCTACTCTTGTGTGGTTACATAGATCACTTAGTAAGTAGAGTCAGCTTATGCAAAGCAAAGCTGTTTTTAATATTTTTAAAAGTTCACAAGTAATATTTGTTCTTTGCAATGATTCAAATAATTCAGGGGTAAATAATTTTAAGAATGATCGTGTGGTAATCATTTCACAATATATTTAAATCCAACCATCAGGCTGTATGTCTTACACGTAGACAGTGACGTATGTCAATTATTTCTCAATAAAACTGGGGGAAAAATAACAGTGTTCTTCTCCCCCACACACACAACTCCTCAGAGGTAACTAACACTAACAGTCAGGAATATATCCTTTCATAGCATGCATTAAAATACATATATAGGCAAATACAAACATATGTACTCACATATCATGCTTTCATTCTCATTTGTTCCTTTGTTGTATACAGAAAATAGATATTTTTGAATATTTTTCCTGCAGCATGTTTTATTCACTTAATCTATATCATGAGACTCAGACAAACCTGGTGGATTAAATAGCCTCCTGCAGCCTCACTTAAAATGGCAGCAGAGGGAGTAGGAGGACATGAGCGGCAAGGATAAGGAGAATAGCAAAGGAGAAGAGAACAATAGAATCTTGGAGCCTGAAAGCCATTGAAGCAGTCTTAGGAAACCAGAGAAACACAAACTGGACATCGGAGAAGAACATCAAATCCCCAAGAGGGCTTGTACAAATTCCTGAGCTCCACCCCCAGAATTTCCAGTGAGGTAGGCCTGGGGCCTGGCAACTTGCATGTCTAACATAATGCTGAGGCTCAGGCTGAGGATGCTGCCAGACACTCCCTGATAAGGGCCACTGAACCGGAGATGCGCCCTCTGACTCAGGCTCGGGCACTCGGGCCACAGCTGACAGTGCAGCTTCTCTGCGGAAATAGGTGATGTGTGCACCGACCTGCACACCCATCCTGAGCCCCTCCTCCCACTTAGGTTCCAGAATGTCAGCAGCCAGATGTCTGCACTCACTGGCGATGGTGCCCATTCTCTCCTCCAGTTTAGGCAAGCACCCATCTACTTTGATAATCTGGGAAATGGATTCTTTTCTAAGGGACGCAATTATCCCAAAGGAACAACAAACCCTATATGCTGGTAGTTGAGGGTCCCTTTCCCCAAAGAAGGGGTTAGTCCTCCCAGCAGAGTGAGGGGAACTTTAAAAAAATGTGAATGTGCCGATGGTTTCTCTCATCGCAGGAATATAACGGAACAGGCGAGAAAATAATGGTAATGATGAACAGCTATATACCAGAGGCATTTTGTCAGGGTGAAGTGGGGAATGGGATCAAAAACAGTGGGGGGAGGGAAATTCACTGGACTATGGTGAGGGCACACGGGTGATTTGGTGATGGGAAACCCAAGGGGATTGCAACTGAGATGGAAAAATGCACAAAAATATGTACAAATAAATCATTATAAAATTTTCTTAAAATGTGAATGACAGGGTCCCAACCAAGTAAATCTGCTGCCCAGAGTGGACCCGAAAGCTCCCTGGGTGACAACATGCAGCAGGGGTGAGAACTGCTCCTCATGGTCAAGATGGTGTGAAAAGCCAGGCCACACACAGAACAGCCCTATGGCTGGCTCCAGAGGAGAAGTCACCACATATTTAAAGAACATCAGAGAACAAACAGAAGAAAAGGAGAACTCAAAGGAAACATATCATGCAAGGAGCAGAAGAAAATGTCCAGAAAAATCCCAAACAAACTATAAGTTATATTTGCAGAGTGATTTAAAAAAATATGACATCTATGAAAAAAGAGGCGAATATAACCATAAGGGTCCAAAAGAACCCAGAGGATCCAATGTCTGGATAATTGGAGAGAACAAAGAAAATAGAAGGTGAAAGGAGGAATCAAAAGACAATTGTTGTAATAGTTACAATTATTCTCCAAAAATCATTCAAAAGGTTGTCAGAGTGGATGGGGCTTGCCTAAACTGGAGGGGAGGTGGTCACCATCAGAGTGAGCACAGGCTTGTGAGGGAGGTGATGGGGAGGTGGGCTTTGGTTTTGGCAATGGCTGCCCACCTCTGTAAAAGATACTAAACATGCTTGAATTGCCCACTTTAAGTGGAGAAACTTAATGATGTGTAGATTATATCTCAATAAGGCTTTTTAAAAATAGTTTCAGACATCTGATTTCTTAGATGGGGGGAGGGGGATGTCAAGAGCCCAGTGCAAAAATAGCTCTGCACTGAGGCACATGATCACGTCATTTCACGATTCTGGGGACAAAGAGAAGTCCTTGAGAGCGAACCTCCGTGTTCACACACACAAAAGGTCAGGACTGAGAATGGCATCACAGTTCCAGCAGCAACACTTAACTCTACAAGGCAGCCGAGCAGTGCCTTTCAGATTCCAAGGAAAAATTATTACTGACCTGAAATTCTAAGGCTCGAGTGTAAGGATCGTCTGAAGAATGGCTGACAGCCATCCACTAATGCCCAGGGAGTGAGGAATACGCAAACTCTGTTCTTTCAGTCCATGACGCCATCCAGCTCTGTTGTTCAGCAGAGGCGTGACGTAGGCTCACACAGGGGTGACAACTGACCGAGGGTCAACAGGAGAGCGTCAGTGCCCCTCCGCGCTCACTTCCTGTTGTTTCCTAGTGGTCTTCAACTGCCCAGCGTTTCTCACAAAAGGGGAATAACGGTGTTGTCAACATGATCCTGAAAAAGAAAGACAGCATAAGAATTCAGGCTTCAGAAGAAACAAACCTGTGTTCACATCAGCTGCGTCACTTCCAGTCTCGTTATTCCGACCAAGCACTTAGCCACCGAGAAATGTTTCTTTCCCTATAAGACAGACTAGTAATGTCTCTTCCCTGGGTTGCTGGGAGGATCGATGAAATATTGTTTGGTGAGTGGAGAGCAAGGTACCGGGAGCAAAGCAGCACTCTAACTGATGTTAGGGTAGCAGTAGTAGCAATAAAAATGAAGAAGGTTAATAAAGCAACTTAAGTTCGTGCATGTTCAGAGTTCAGTTTGCCCCTTCTACCTATACTCTGTCCAAAAAAAAAAAAAATCCTATTTCTTATTTTTCTTTCTTCTAAACTGAGATGGATTTCTACTCATGTTCTTTAGGGAAAAGTACTAATGGCTTTTTTTTTCCTCTATCTGAAACTATTTCTGAAACGCAGCTTCAAGGTTTGAGAGCCTTCAATTCTTTTGTCTACTTCTCGTTGTTAACATCATACTTACAGTGTCTGGAAAAGATTCAAGTTCACAGTTTATAGGTGTGATTTGGCAATACCAGGCATATATACTAAGAGGGACAGAGAGAAAGCTTTGGGTAGAGAAGGCTTTTAGCCTCTAAATCATATACAATGTTGTAAATCAATGTAATATCAGTAAACAACAACAACAAAAAGTTTCATGTTATATAGCTAAAAGGAAAAAAAACAAACAAACACAGAAAAAGATTCTGTAGTTCATGGTCTTCCTTGACGGTGGTTTCCTGTCACCACAGCACTGAAAACACCTCAAGCAAAATACCTGGTTACTGTGGAAACAATTCAACAGCAGGTGACTGTTGCCCAGAGGTAATAAGACCCCAAATCAGAGCAGGCCCATTGAAGCCTTGTTTTTTTTTTTTTTTTATTATTGACTAAATAGCCTTAAACCAGGTGGGAGGTCAGAAGGCTCCCCATGCCCAGCCAGAGGCATGTCTGAGGTGGGCAGGTCAGGGCAGAGCTGACAGGGGATCAGAGAGGCTGGGAGTAGCCACAGGGAGAAATGATTTCCCTCTTCCTGCCCACAGGCAGCACTTTAACACGTGTGCAGAAGTTTCTTAGATGCTTAGTTGTTTGATGCCCCAGTGCCATGTTCTTTCTTTCAGATGAGGAGGCCAAGGAGGCGAAATGGCAGCAGAGGATGTGTAATTAGGAGACTTTGGAGCCAGCATTTGAAGCCACATTTCTTGACTAGAAATAATACATCTTTTCCATGATGCTTCTGTAATAATAATAACAATAAAAACAAATATTCATTAAGTAAGTACTTATTGTGTAGCAAGTATGATTCTACCCATGTTACACATATTAAGTAGCTTATAAAAATAAAAAAAGTTAATCCAGTATAACAATCCTACTTTACAGAAAGGAAACTGGGGCACAGAGGCATACGTTTTTATTCTTTACCACCATAGATGCCTGCCCAAAGAGAGGTGTTGTCCTCAAAAGAGATGCAGCACACTCAAACACCCCACGTGAGTTTTGCTAAAACTCCTTTTGCTAAAGCGCGAAGGCTTTTTGCCATGTGCTTTATTGCCATTCACTAATGCAAGGACAACTCGAAGTCTCCTTTAGGCTGTGTGGGGCAGCTCTGGGAAGGGAAGAGTGACCTGAATCTTCAGAGGCTCCCCCATATTGGACGCCATATTGGAGCAGGAGGTAGAGATGTGACTGTCTTCTCAAGGGGAAGGATATACCCATTTTTGCCTCTCTCACTCCTTGGCAGTGGAGGCCACAGCACTGCCACTTACTAGCAAAATGTCACCCTATGTCCATGTCATCCTGGCCACAGAGAACCTCTAATCCCAGTGTTCGAGCCTCCAGGCTGAGTCTGAGCTCGTGTCCTGCCTTGTTCCAGAGACTTCCACTCTGTGCCCTTCAACCTAAACCTCCTGAGCCAGAACCTAACTTGCACAGTCCTTCTGTCTGCAGGAACCACATCAACTCCCTGATCATTTACTGGCCCTCTTTTAGATCCCCTCCAGATCTCTGGTCTCTCCTTCCCACCACCCACCACCCCGGTTTCCTGCATACAGTGGCACTCGGCACTTTTGTGAAGGCCAATGGCGTCCATCTCTGCCTACATGCTCGCTTCCTCCAGCATGTAGATAGCACTGCCCAGGGAGGACCTGACCCGAAGACTAGCTGTTCTATCTCTCTCAAAGCCTGTTTGACCTAAAGGATAATTACCTTCAGTGGTTTATAGCTGTCCTTTCTGTTAAATGCTCCACTAACCCCTAGATCCATTCATTCCTTTCGGAGAAGGCACCCCGCTAGGAGCTGGAAATACAACAATGAATAAGATGGCCACACCATTGTCCTTCCAAAACATATAGTTTAGTCAGAGAGATTGAAGAGCAAACAATTACAGCTCAGCATGAACAGGGGAAGAAGCCCAGGAGAGGAACCCCAGTGCACACAGAGGTCCAGGAAAGACTTCTAAGAGAAAGTTAGAAGAGTGAAGGATGAGACCAAGAGGGCAGGGCAGAGATACCTGAGCCAGAGGGACAGGCAGAGGAGATGGGGAGCCTTCCACACCAGCAGAGATGACTGCAGGCACACCGCTCTGCCCCAGGGCCCGGCTTGCCTCCCTCAGCTGAGTCCCTCTTGGGGAACTGCCCTGCATGCAGAGAACCCTTGACCTAAAACCCACTGCCTCCCCAGGGCAGCCACAGCCAGTGACTGACCCGCCCCGACAGTATAAAGGCTTAGCCCCACTGTCTCCGGGTAGCGACTGCCCCTCATACCCGTCACATCACAGCTCTACGCACTCCCTCTGCCTGTGCAGGTGCTGGAGGCCAGGGTTCCTCAGAAAACATTCCACTTGCAAATGTCAGAATCTCAAAGCCTGCTTGCCGGAGAACTGGACCTCACACAGGGGGGTCAGGAAGAAGAGTCGAAGGCAGGACTTGGATCCTCACCCCAAGCCTGCGGTGTGTCACATTCAGGGGAGCTCTGACAGCCTGGCGTGCTGGCGTGGGCAACTGGACCTTCCGGGTGGAGAGCAGGGCTCGGTGTTCCCCTCTGGAGGTTAAGGGTCTGAAATAATATTAGCACAGGAATAATCCCAACCGCATGGTACTTTTCAATGAGTGCCAATCATGCCTGGGAGAAAAACCACTGTGACCTTCAGAGGACCTTTTCCACAGCTTATAGAGACTCTTATCTTCTGTGTCTGGGAGTCAGGAAAAGTCAGACCCAGGACTTCATTGTCGGAACAGCTGCCCAAATTCCAAAGTGGGTGAATCTGCTATGTCGCTGGGTTTGCTGTGTCACTCAGGGCTGAGTAAGGAAGGAGTGGACCCTGAAGGGAGAGGTGGGGTCATCTGGTGGATGTATTTGAAAACCTTGAAGTCCCAGATCCCTAGAAAGCTCCTATCCAGCAGTAGTCCCCCCCAAGTTAGGGACCAGCTGGAAGACCATGCAGAGGGCTCTCAAAACAACATGTATCCCCTCCGGATTCGCCAGAACTGCCTTCCTAGCTCCAGATCAATAGCAGGGGTGAAGTCATTACCCCATCAGCTAGAGAGGTGCTGGCCCTGCTGGGGGAGAGTTGACTGTCCCCAGGGGAGTGTCCATGTAGTGGATCTTGGGGTTCCATGGCAACCCAGGTAAGGAGGTGTGATTGGAGGACGGAGTTTGTTGAGTAGAAGTGTGTGTTTTATACACATGCACCTGCTGCTTCCTGGAGGCCCTGGAAAGGGTGTCATCTTGCTCCCAGAGTGCATCTTACTTGTATCGAGAAAGCAGTGGCTACCTTATGTGAAATGGAACTGTCCCCTCTCTGTGGCAGAAGTGGAGGGAGAATCGAAGGCCCCGAAATGCACATTCCTGGCAAACTTCCCATAGAAACCCAAGCTGAGACCCAAAGCTGAAGACATCTAAGAGGGCGTGTTGGTTTTAATAGCTATGGCAAATGTGCTCCACTCTTATTTTTTTTTTTGAAAAGTTTTGCATTTATAAGAAACTTTCCATCTCAGTTCACTTGAGGAAAAATCCCCCCTCCCCACTACTCCCTTGAAGAAAAATGCTTTTTGTGGCTCATGATCATTTTGAATATGAAGTATTTACTAAAGGAAATTTTCTTTCCTAAGAGGTCTTAGTAAGCAGATTGTTCATTTTTTCATTTTCAGAGAAAGCGTTTTCTTGAGAACAAATCTTTCTTGAGAACAAATTTTGCTTAATTCTTATCTTCCTGGCTGGTGAAAAGGTTTACCCTGGATAGCATTGCACTTGGTCCTCATTATTCTATTTTCCTGGCTGGGCCGTGTAATTTCTCTCCTTGTAATTTTCCTTGGTACGAGGTGTGAATCACATCCTAAGCTGGTTTTGAGTCATTTCCCTTTCGTTAGGCTTCTGGGTAAGTTTTTTCTTTTTTCTTTTTCTTTTTCTTTTTTTCTTTTAAACCAGTAATGATTTTAGACCACATGAAGGAATCATACCAATACTATCACAACACAATTACTAAAACATCATGAGCTTCATCCCCAGGCTCCTAATGTAGAAACAGTCACAGAGGCCAGACAATTTGTATTTGAACGTCCAACTTGGTCTTTCCAAGAGTTCCCTGTCAGCTGGGGACAGGGCCAGCACATCTGAAGGTCTGGTACTTATATGTCTGCCAGTTTCCACTTCCCACCAGCCCTGGGTTCCTGTCTGCCCCTGAAACAAGTAACTTTCCCCCTGGGGCTCAGTCTCACTGTCTATAAAATAAGGGCACAGACCAGAAGAGGAACGGCACGTGGGTGGCTTGAGTGACGCCCGTTCAGGCTGTGCATTTGGCTTGGCTTGGAGTCTGGTGTCAAGGGGCTGTTTTAAATCTGACTTTCTTTAAGATGGCTGGTTCAGACACCAGTCCCACAACTACTTGTTACCCTGAACACATGCAATTCACACATTTATGGATTTGCCTGGTTTCTCAGGCTTTGAGACTACAAACTTTGGGTTCAGTGATCTTAAACCCACAGTTGTGCTTGTTTCCCCTGGAGTTCAAGGCCCCCAAGGGCAGAGTAAGTGAGGGGACAGGAGTGACTTGTGGGCCACGCATGTTCTGAATGCCCAGTGGTGGCATTCAGACTGGGTCTGCCAGTAATGCCCAGCTAGGGTGCCAGAGTGGGGTGCGTTCTGGCTAGGAAGGGGGAGGTTGTGTTACATTTTTTATTCACAGACTGTGAGCAATGATTGGCATGTCTGCTGTGGGAGGGAAACCAGCAAGCAGCAGGAATAAGGGCCCGTGCTTGCTGGCAGCACCCACGACTGCACAGTGACAAGTGGGGCTCCCTGGGGTCTTCAAGAGAAGCCTGGAACCCATTCTGTGGGGTGCAACCCAGCCTCCACTCTGCGGTGTCAACCTTGATGAATCCTGCTCTTCGTTCTCTTTTGCTGTCTGTGGTTGTCATAGTTACAAGGTCTCAATGCCTCCAGTTCCCCCTCTTCATGGCAAAGGGGATCAAGCTCCCTTCTTACTGGGGCTGAAAAGCCCATTGCCAAGTACATGCTCCAAGGTTGCCCTGAGGGTGCATTGCTAACACCAGTTTGGCTCAAATCTTCCTGGAGAGCAGGAGAGGCCCAGTTTCTTCCAACAGCACAAACGACCTCGGTTTTCCTTCTTTTGGCCCTTTTTCACTTACTCATATCCATGCCCAGCTCTGTGACTGACATAATCAGGGCTGGTATTATCCCTCAAGCAGTATGACATTTCAAAACACCCAGACATCAGGAGGACACAGATAATGTCAAGGAAACTCAATAGGGTTCCTCTCAGGCCCTAATGAGAAGTACAAAGGAGCAAATTATGGGATTTTCTATAGAGCCGTTTGTAAGTGCAGGAAGGGAGGGGAAGATATCCTATCAGTGACAAGGGCTTTTGGAGAGGAACTGCCTGCTCTCACATCCAGATTGAGTCCTGCAGGCCAGAGAACTCTTTCTGTCTTGGTGGGGCTCTCCCTGTGAGCTTGGGAAAAACACTTCCAGCTGAAGAGAGAATTACATCCACACAGGACAGAATGTGTGCCCTGGTGGAGAAGCACACGAGCGAATTTCTTTCCTTTGTTTTGGTTCTCATCTAGAAGAACCACATTGAAACCAGTGTTTATAACATTATTTAAGCTCTGCCAGTATTTTACAAGTTACTGTTCAGGTCAGCATCTTTTAATTGTTCACAGAACTCCACAGTAGAGTTAAATTACATATGGAGAGGTTGAATTCTTAAGCTACAGTGTATGAACTGACTTGTAAATGTATTTTTACATTATTTTATTGGGACATCGCATAGTTAAGAAACCAAGGCTCCTTGACACCTGCTTCATTCCTCTCTTGTGAACCTTGTGACACTGAGCATTATGACTTGTACATATATAGTCGCTGTTCAGTAAATCTGAGTTGAATTGAATTTTGCCAATGTTTATTAAGTCTACATTTCGTGATAGAGGTTTGCTTGCTAGTGTAGGGCTCCCTGCTCTAATAGCTTTACTCCAGTTTAGGCTTTGCTTAATCTCTCTCAAATGGCTCCAAAAATTATGAAATATTTTTCATTAACATAAGGCATTGGGAATAAGGTCGAGGCTGGGGATTTTTCATACGTAGTGTAATGTGTGCACAGTTTAAACAAAAGGAAAAAGAAGGAAGTCTCCATCTAGCCGGCTGCGTAAGGAGGAAATCCATTCCCACTTGTCCGCGTTTGATTGAACCTTCGTGAACTGCCAAAGCCACACATCCTGGAGGCACCAGATTAAAGACCTCCAGGAGATGTCTTATAGATCTTCTTAGACAGGTGCTTTTCACACCTCTGCAGTTTATCTAAGGCTCACTTCACAAAGGCTTGGAGGGAGCTCTACCCTTCCTAAAGCACATGAAGTCAAATAAACCCAGAGCTAAAAAATAAGATCTTCAGGTTCAAACTCAGACTGTGAGAACGACAGAAGGGAGACAGCATGGCTCGTTACTTAGTCCCCATTTATTCGCCATTTATCGTATTCAGAGGAAATCATCACCACTCTTTGGTCAGCCATTCGCCCATTTTGGTGAGTACCTACTGTGTACCCTGTGCATACTCGGCTTGCATGTGACCTCTGACAGAACTGCTGAAGTGACTCCCCTCCCAACTAAGGTTTATGAAGCACCCTACATGCATGGGTCCTTTGTGCACCCACATACTTGGAAGCAGAGGGGTCCTTCTTTTCTCACAGACTTTAGGAGAAGGTAGGTATGTAAACCAGAAGGTAAAATATCATTTGGATTGTATTGAGAGCCCCAGCTCCACCCCACAAATTCATATGTTGAAATCCTAACCCCCAAATGTGACTGTATTTGGAGTTAGGCCTTTAGGGGGATTGTTAAAACTAAATGAGGGCATAAAGGTATGACTCTGATCTGATGGGGCTGGGGTCCTTATTAAAAGACAGGACCCCAGAGATTTCTGTCTCTACACAGGCAGAAATGCAGTCATGTGAGGACACAGGCAAGCTGGGAAGAGAAATCTCACCAAAATCCAGCCCTGGACCTTGGGATCTTAGCTTTTAGAACTGTAAGAAAATAAATGCTCATTGTTAAGCTCCCAGTCAGTGGTATTTTGTATGGCAGCCTGTGCAGACTACTACAAACACATTGCAAATCCCCTCAACTGTTTCCACGGGATTATGGCACTTAGGCGATGCCAAGCACACAGAGTAGATAAGACAGTGAACACTTGCCAAGTGAGTGGTGAAGACAGCACTGGATCGATGAAGTCAGACAGCTGTGGGGAGGGAAGGTAGATGAAGCAGTGAATAAAGAGATGTGACGTCATGCTTCCTCTTTGCTGTCTGGAAACTGCAGTTACTCAGCTAATTTGGGCCCTCTTGATGGGAAGATGCTGAAGGGGTTGGTTGATGACTCGAAAACAGTACAGACTTGGAGATTTAAAAAAAAAAAAATGAAAGCCCTAATTTCTTGTTCATGCATGTTCCCCAGACTAACTTCCTCCTTTTGCTAAGGAGTCAAGGTGGAGTGACATCAGCGTCCTCCACCCCTGACCTGCTGTGTACTCTGC